GTGCGCTTTCCCTCATCGTAACAGCTCCTGACACCTGTACAACATTCCCCACATTTTTGGTCCCCGGAAAAAAAAAAAAAAACCGTTCCTTGTCAGAACCAACCAGACTTGCTCAGATGAGATCTATATAACATTATTACTGTAACGACTACACCAGACCTTTCCCCGAAATTACAAAACTGTCCCCCACACCCCCGCACCGTTTTTACCCTGCTGACACCTTCGAAAAGATTTACGGAGTTAAATTACTCCTAATGTTTTTACGATTTTACTCTCTAGATGAGAAAAACGTGGACCGTCAGATTAATGAGCCGCTGATCACGGCGTTCTAATGGTTATGATTTCCACCCGAGCGCACAGTATCCTAAATACGACAAACGTAGAGGACCCAACTCGTCACACCAGACCGAAAAAACCAAACACGAACCGCGGGGTTCGTTCTGGTCAAGGACAGGAAAGCCACGACCACGAGTCAAAAGAGACGCAACCGGAAGAGACGGAGGAAGGACGCCAGTTCTTAAGTTTCCGGTACGGCGGCAAAAAAAAGGGAAAGGAAAGGAAAAGAAACTTACCGATGGGATTAACGTTTCCCCAGTACGTTTCGACTTGGGGATGCTGCAGAGGATCTCCGTAGACCTCACTGGTGCTGGTCAGGAGGAACCTCGCGCCCACTCTCTTCGCCAACCCCAGCATGTTTAATGTACCCACCACATTGGTCTTGTAAAAAATTCAGAATTAAGGAACCAAAAATAAAAAAATAATAATAATAGAATCGAAAGAGTAATTAGGAGAAATGGAATTGGAAACCGGAAAAATTAAGGATATGATAGTCTTGACGGGGTTGAATTTGTAATGCACCGGAGATGCGGGGCATGCGAGGTGGTAGATCTGGTCGACCTCCAGAAGAAGAGGTTCGACGACGTCGTGGCGGATTAGCTCGAAATTGGGGTTCCCAAAGTGGTGCATCAGGTTTTCCTTTCTCCCGGTGAAGAAATTGTCCACCACGATCACGCTGTCGCCTCTCGCAATTAGACGGTCGACGAGGTGGGAACCGACGAATCCGGCGCCACCGGTGACAACGATCCTCAGTCCCTTCCTCTTCAGCCCCAGCGGGATCTTCCCCGTCGGGTTCGCTGACCCGAACCCGATTCGCTGCGGGACGGATACCTTACTCCGCGTCTCGCGGAAGTAAGAGTCGGAATCGGTGAGCGGGATCGAGTAGTCCGCGTCTCGCGGGCCGTGAGGTGAAGGTAACACGGTGAAAAACAGAGTGGCAATCACAACGCCGACAAGCACGAAGAGAAGGCGCTGCTCCCGGAGCAAGTAACGAATAGGCCGTGCCACGGACGACCACGGCTTCACCGGCTTCGGCGAGTACGTATCTGAAGCCTGTTGAGCCTCGTGCCCTCTGTATATCAGCTCCGAAACCATCTCGACACTCTGGATTCCACCTCCCTTCCAAAAATTAGAAAATCAGTAACTGAGATTGTAGCAGACAACTGTATTTATGACCTCAACTCGCCGGTAAGTAGTCACCGGCGATGGCGTAGCGAAGGTGATGTAGTGAGTTCTGGGGCGGGGAGGTTTTGGGTATTTAAGCAGGGAGGGGCGAGGAGACAAGGCGTGGATTGAGGCAGAATTACAGAAATGCCATGGAGGTGACTTTCCTTCCTTGGAGACCATTTCAGATTCAGTTTTAGGTTAAATGCTCATTTTGGTCCCTCAACTTTATCAGTTTGCACATTTTTTTTATTCTTAAAGGATTTTGTGCACATTTTTTATACCTCAACTCTAAGAAATGCATACTGTCGGTCCCTCCGTCACTTATCTACGACATGGTAGTTAAAAAATTTCACGTGGCATTTTGTTATAATTTTGTTATGACATGGCAATAACACATTATATAATTTGATTACATGTATAAATAAAAACGCCAACTTATATACCAAATTAGATTAACATTTATATTTTTAATAAAAAAATAAAAAAAACAACAAATTTGCCGTCATACTCCTGTCTCCCTTTCTTGATCCATCTTCTTCTCTTATTTCGATCAATCTTCTTCCTTTTCTTTCTTCCTCTTTTTCCTCTATGTTGCTAGGTTCCCTCAAACCCAGCTGATCGGGGTTCAAGGGAACCCAGCAGATCTGGGTTTCGTCAAACCCAGCTTGAATTTGATGGAACCCATTTGCTGGGTTCGAGGAGCCCAATTTTGTTGGTTTCGATGGAACCTAGCTTGGGTTCCTTAAACCCAACAAATCTGGGTTCGAAGGAACCCAGTTGCTAGGTTCCATTGAAACTAGATCTATTGGGTTCCTCAAACCCAGCTCCACTTTTTTTTTTTTGTTATATATTTGTTGCTTGTTGCGAAGAGTTTATGTAAATTGCAGGTTGTGAGGGGTTTTTTGGATTCTTTTGTTTCATATTTCCTAATTATTGTCTAAATGAATTTAATGTTCAAAATGGAAAGAACATCGCCAGAAATGGAAAGAAAAGAAATGGGCAAAGAAGCAATTTTCAATGGATTTCCATTTGCTTGGCTAGGTTAAAAAATTGTATAGTTTGGGTGTTTGGATGCTTGAATTCTGAAAAAATGGTTTCAATCAGTGTTTTGGAATAGATGTTTGGTTGCTGAGAAAATTTTAATGTCTGTTAAGAAAATTTGTTGAGAAAATTGGGATTTAATTAGAAATTAATTAGAATTTTAATTTTAATTAAAATAAATAATTATAATTTAATGATGATTGGTCAGTAGAATTTGATTTGGTACCATTTGTATGCATATAAGCATTTTGATTTAATTTAATTTGTTATATCATTAAAAAAAATAAAAAATATTACGTAATTTGCCACATCATTAAAAAAATATAAAAAATATCATGTAATTTGCCACATCATTAAAAAAATATTAAAAAAACCACGTGGACAAAGTTAACGGCTTAAATTGATGGAAGGATCAACAATGTGCATTTTTTAGAGTTGAGGGATAAAAAATGTGCATACAATACTTTAAGGGCCAAAAATGTGCAAACTGATAAAATTAAGGGACCAAATTAAGCATTTAACCTCAGTTTTAAAAGTGTAAACGGTTATGGGTGTCATTAGAATCTAATTTTGGTCAATTAGTGATTGATTAAGGAGTGGTTTATAAAAATTTAATTAAGGATTTGTCTAGTGCTTAAATGCATATTTTTATAATTAATTTACATAAAAAATACCAAAAGTTAATTGTAATTTTAGAATTAATCAAATAATTAAATTTAAGTTAATTTTTATCAATTTTTATACAAATTAATTATAAAAATATATATTTATTACATTCTTAATTTGTATTCTAACAACACAAAATAAAGTAATCCTTTATTCAATGGGATTGGGCTTAGCCCAATCCTGATTGTTCTCAGTTTTCCATTTTCAAAACTTGAGCAATAATGTGGTTGATTAATGTTTGATTAGATCATTAAATGTCATTTTTGTATTTGAAGTAATTTTTGGAGTAAATTTTATTTTCATAGAAGGGTTTGTCAAATCTATCTTGCATTAATTACATATTTTTACATTTAATTTCTATAAAAATTCATAAAAGTAGACATTATTTTTATTATAAATGTTACATGTGTCTTTTTAATTAAATTATAAATAATTATAAAATTAAAATTACTTTTTAATATTTTAATATTAATTAATTAAAAAATATATATAATAAATATACTATTAACATATATTTTAAAAACACATGTCAAAATTTTCATTCATAAAATAAGATTTTGTTTTTTTATGAGGATAATAAGATACAAATAATTTATTTATTTGTAAAAATAAAATTTTAATTTATAATTTTTATATATTATTAAATAAATAAATTCATATAATATTATAAATTTTAATAAAATAACAAGAATTATCCATTAAATGTCCCTTAATCACTTTCCTCTTTTTTAACTTTCAAATCTTTACATTCCATCAATCAATTTTCCCAAAATATTGATTTTATGTGAAAACCAAAACAAGACTTGTACTTTTGCATTAGCAGCCTTCCCTGGTTCAAATAATCCCAACAAAAGTTGCACTGTAGGCGGAAGAAAAAGCCAAGAATTTTGAAGTCCATGGGAGCACAGAGCACGTTATTGGCTTTAAAAAAACGTTAAGTGGGCATGGTCGTAGTTGAAGCTGAACATTAGGTGTCTTAATTTGGTAGCATAAACTTTGTTCAAAAAAAAAAAATTTGGTAGCATAAAACCGCCCTTAGAAAAGTCAATAAAAACACCTAATTGTACCACCGAAAGCGATTTTTGGTGGGAAAAAAAAAACTTGGAGTGATTTTGACGCTCATTTTCAGCTAACCAAACGCGTCCCTATTCCAACAAAACATCATTTTTCCATTTTATTATTATTTTAATTTTAAATTTTTTTATTTTTTACTTTGAATTGGTATTTTGAAGGTGCTAAGGTCACTTTACTTGACCGTGCAAAGGGCATTTCACTTTATTTAATGTATAGTCAATTCAGCCCTTCTCTTTTTGCTTGGTTACGATTTCACAACTAGATTAAATACTATATTGACTTTTATCGAATACCATGTAACATTGTGTTTTGATTAGCTCACAATAGATATTTAGTAGACTTGGCTAACATATATTGAAATGGTCTAATCCAAATACTTAAGTATGCTAAAATTTAAGTTTCCTCTTTTATTTTGAACAGTTCGTAAAAAAATTAACATAATTAAAATATTAATATTTTTTAATAAAATTATTTAAATATTGTTAATAAATTAATATATAAAATACTTAAGTATGCTAAAATTTAAGTTTCCTCTTTTATTTTGAACAGTTCGTAAAAAAATTAACATAATTAAAATATTAATATTTTTTTAATAAAATTATTTAAATATTGTTAATAAATTAATATATAAAATACATTCATTTTAAATAATTTCATAGAGATTTCATATTTTAAATGTTATGATGTCTTAATTTTTATTTTTTTATTATTTTAAATTATACATTAAGATATAACCATTTCTTATCTCTTCATCAACCCTATATGCATGTTTACTACTCAAATTTATAATCTTTTGATCCATTTAATAAAAATATTGTTACTAAACTACTTAGATTATTGGCATTTGTACAATCCTGTAAAACTCAAATTATTACTAGTAATAATTAATTGTTACTTCTCTTGTACTCCTTTGGTTTCATTATATTTGACGTTTTAGCCTTATGCACTTAGATTAAGATAATTATTCATTATGCTTTTTTTTTTTTTATCTTGGTTGCACAATAGAATATAACTATTTCTCATCTTTTATCTTACCCCACTTGCATGTCATGTGACTTGAATTCAGAATCTTTTACTTTTAACTACTTTCAGTAGAAAGAAATAATCACTAAGTTATTTAGAACGATGATCATTATGTTTAATATTAGAATAAAATATAATTAAAATATTGCTTTTATCATTTTTCTCTTAAAAAATCGAGTTATTTGTGATAGTGCCAACAACCTAATTACATAAATTAGTGATAAATTCTTTCCAAAGTAAGAGGTTCTATAGAAATGTAGCTAATTTTTTCTTTTGCCAACATATAATGGTATTATTAGCCACCTAAATATTCTAAAATGATCAAACATACATGATTACAAACGCTCTCAAAACAATTTTTATGGAAAGTTTTTCCAGATGTCGGCGAAAGAAAATGACTTGAAGCTATGAGAGTTTGTTAGCATAGCCTTGTCAATCGGGCTGTATTCATAGAAGAAAAGTCGTAAAGGGAAATAACAATTCTAATACTGTCTATCCATTTTGCTTCTTTAATTAATTATTTATATATGTGCCATATACATTTCAAAATTAATTATTTTGTTAATAGCAATTTGTATTCATGTTAGTTTTATTTATAAATTCTTGTGAACGAAAGGGTCTCTTAATTTAAAAAATAGTATGATTTGTTTAATCAACAAACTAAGGCATCTAAACAACCTCTTGATTACATAAATATATATATATATATATTTCCTTCAAATTACCAACTATTCTTCTAAGATCGACAAGAAAATGAAATTTAATTTGTTGACTTGGGCAGGCATCCTAACAACCCAAATCGGCGCACCTTGATTAATGAAATTGATGTAAATGATTAGAGGGTTGTTTGGCGCAGTTAGCTTAAAAGTAAACTTACATTTTAAGCACATTCTAATTCCATCATAAATTTAAAAATATGTAAAAGGAAATTTTGAATTTGAAATTTAAAGTAATTTTATAAATAAATTTTTACGCTCTATTTTGGATTGAGAAAGTTGAAGGGAACGAGAGAAGGGTGAGGAGAAAAGAGCACTTTTTTCTATTTGAATAAATAATTTTAATGGATGGGAGGGGTTCTGTTTTCAATTTATTCAATTTGGAGGGATTGGATCAAAGTATATTTTTTAACTTATTTTTATCTTAATTTTTTAAAAATAAATATAAACATTTTATTTCAACTATTTATTTTATTATTAATTTTAAATTTTTTATTTTTTTATTTTATTGTTTATTAAAT